TATACCCCTCCATGACTGTTTGGCTCTCATTATTTTGTCTTTCTCTGTCAGCTGCAGAAAGTCCATCTCATGGACTTGGAGAGTCCATGGAGAGATTGGAGTCTTATCTGTAGTTTCATTTTACACTCCTACTTGCACAAAGTCCCAGTTGCCACTGCCAGGGAATGAGTTTCAGCACTCTTGCCAGAAACAAGCTCAGTCTTCTCCAGAGGTTAAACTTTGACCTCAAGTGCTAAGAAATAAATCCTAATTCTCCCTTCCAAGTGCTAATTCCCTGTTTTTGGCTCCAGAAACAGTGCTGTCTTATAAATGCCTAGGACTCAGGTACGTTAGAACTTGATCCTGGAAGACCAACTTCTCTTGATAAGCCTCAGGCTGCTGAGGCTGAAGATGACATATCCAACCCCTCTGCTGTTGTCCTAGAAATAGTGGGCCTTTGTCTCCTCCTGCAGCACACTACAAACAGTGCAGAAGGAAGGGGCTTGCAGGCCTGCTCCTTTCAAATTACTATGTAGATGTAGGAGCATCAAGAAAGGTTTCTGATCCACAGTTGGGAGAAGGTTCCCTTCCTGTTTCACTTTGATATTCAAAAGCACAGCTTGGTTTCATTGCTGGAGCTACAAGAATCACTCCAGCCATCTAGATCACTGGGAACCCTCTGTGTCTCCAGAGAAGAATAGGCAGCTCTACCCATGAGGGTGTAGGAGGGGGCCTGCTCCGTGTTGTGGTTGGGAGATTTCCACCTGATATTCCTGGAGGCTTCTAAGTGGGTGACTTTGGATAGAAAACCCATTCTGTTTCCAGGTAGCAAACATTATCTGTCACTCTCTAAGTGGTAGTTTGGTTCTTTTGTTTTGAAACCAGTTGTTAGTTACACATACAAGATAATGGATTTGATTGGCTAATTCTTCCCTTGTTGAAAAATTAGGGTAAGGATTCTGTTCAAACAACTGTTGAAGTATTTGAAGGTCATCTGGAGTAAATTCATGTGTGGTCTTTTTTTTCCTCTACTCCCTTTTATTCTTATTTCTTTATGACTGTCTTTAATTAGAGATCCATTAGAAGCCATGTCAAATTTCTACTCTAGCCTTTCAAAGCACAACACTACTTTGGAGGAGCATTAGTAAAAATCAATGAAAACTTTTTTTTTTTGAGACAGAGCCTCAAGCTGTCGCCCTGGGTAAAGTGCCATGGCATCACAGCTCACAGCAACCTCCAACTCCCAGGCTTAAGTGATTCTCTTGCCTCAGCCTCCCAAGTAGCTGTGACTACAGGTGCCCGCCACAATGCCCGGCTATCTTTTGGTTGTAGTTGTCACTGTTGTTTGGCAGGCCCGGGCTATATTTGAACCCGCCAGCTCTGGTGTATGTGGCTGGCGCCTTAGCTGCTTGAACTACAGGCGCCATGCCAATGAAAACTTTTTAACTGATATAATAACCATAGATTTTTGAAGTCCAAAGGATCCAAAATAAATTCACTCCTAGACACATTCTAAGATCTTAAAATTGTCAGAAATAAAACATAGATTGGCTTCAAAGGAGCAATAGTGAGTCTTACGACTTTATGAAAATAAAGAAGTCAGTGGAGGGGCAGCACCTGTGGCCCAGTGAGTAGGTCTCTGGCCCCATATACTAAGGGTGGCGGGTCCAAACCGGGCCCTGGCCAAACTGCAACAAAAAAATAGCTGGGCACTATGGTGGGAACCTGTAGTCCCAGCTACTTGGGAGGCTGAGGCAAGAGAATTGTCTAAGTCCAGGAGTTGGAGGTTGCTGTGAGCTGTGTGACGTCACGGCACTCTACCTAGGGCAATAAAGTGAGACTCTGTCTCTACAAAAAAAAAAAAAAAAGGAAGTCAGTGGAAAGAAAATTTGAATTATATCCTCCAAATGCTGAAAGAAAATAACTGTCCGCTCAGCACCCGTAGCTCAATGGTTTCAGTGCTGGCCATGTACACCAGGGCTGGCGGGTTTGAACCCCACCCCACCCCCTGGCCCGCTAAACAACAACAACTACAACAACAAAAAAATAGCTGGGCATTGTGGTATGCACCTATAGTCCCAGCTACTTAGGAGGCTAAGGCAAGAAAATTGCTTAAACCCAAAAGTTTGAAGTTGCTGTGATCTGTGACACCATACCACTCTACTGAGGATGACATAGTTAGATATCTAAAAAAAAAAAAGAACTTCATTGTAGAATTCTAGACTCAGATAAAATATCTTAATATCTTCCATGAAGAAGGCTGAAATAAAGACATTCTCAAACAAGCAAAAATGGTGTTTTCCTGGGCGGCATCTGTGGCTCAAAGGAGTAGAGCGCTGGCCCCATATGCCGGAGGTGGCAGGTTCAAACCAGCCCCAGCCCCAGCCAAAAACCGGAAAAAAAAAAAAGGTGTTTGCCACCAGTAGATTCTCAATAAAGAATACTGTAAAAGGAAGAAACTGATCCCAGATTGAAGTTCTATAGACAGCACAGAATAAAACAACTGAAGTAAAACAATAGCTTATAGGATTTAAAAAGAAAACATAATCAAAATTAAAATACATTACAATACTGACATGTAAGTTGAGGGAATGAATTAAAGAATTATAATTAGTTGTGTTATATAGGAAACAGATAAAGATATGAATTGTAGACCTCCATAAACTAAGCAAGCATTATGTGATTATTAAAGAATACAGAAAAAGAATGAGAAAAAAATATCAAGTCAATCTAAAAGAAGGCAAGGAATGAGAAAAATATAATCAGAATAGATGGGGCAAACAGAAAGCATAAAATAAAATATAAACATACCATGTATTATAATAAATGTAAACAGTTATAAACATTGTAAACAATGCCCAGTTAAAAGACAAAGCCTGTCATCTCCAATAAAAAATGAAGAAAACCCCCTAAATCCAACTAAATGCTATTTATAAGCCATATTTCTAAAACATAATATAGGAAAGCTAAAAGTAAACAGATGGAGAAAGATATACTAGACAAATTCTAATAAAAAGGAAAAGATCTAAGCTTCACTTATTACAGGGAAAGCTTTCTGGTATGTACTTGACAGAGTTGGGGACAACTCTCAGCTTTGTTCAGGTAAGTAGCCTCATAACTTTAGGACAAGCTGCTTCTCTTTCTGGGCCTGTATCTCCTTGCTTATGATAGGGAGATAGGACCAAAGAATTACTAACATTTTATGAGTGCGGACAGCTATAGGTAGGACTTTGAGGAAAAATGGAAAAAGCTTTTACTACCTAAAGCAGCAGTTCTCAACCTGTGGGTGGCGACCCACAGGAACTGTATTAAAGGGCCGCGGTATTAGGAAGGTTGAGAATCACTGACCTAAAGGCTTTAAGTAGTAGGTCTCAACTGGTAGGGGCAAAAGTTCAACCAGGAAGAGTCTTCAAAATGCAGATTACCCCACTCTGGAAGGTGAAGTGGGAGGACTGCTTGAGTTGAGGGGTTTGAGACCAGCCTAAACAAGAGTACAACCCTGTTTCTAAAAATAGAAAAATTAGGCAGGCATAGTGGTAGGTGCCTATAGTCCCAGCTACTTGGGAGGCTGAGGCAGGAGGGTCGCTTGAGCCCAGCAGTTTGAGGTTGCTGGGAGCTGGGCTGAGGCCACAGCACTCTAGCATGGGTAACACAGTGAGATTTTGTCTTAAAAAAAAAAAAAAGCAGATTACCCCTCTCCATACCTCCTTGGACATTCAGGCACTGGGTATAGAAACACTGATTCCGATATTGCCACTCACCTCCTCCCTCAGGAGGCATTGAGACCCTAGATAGGAAAGCAAAGGTACTGGAATTAAGAATTGGGAATGCTTGTTCAGTGCCTGTTGCACAGTGGTTACAGTACCAGCCATGTTCCCCGAAGTTGGTGGGTTCAAACCTGGCCCCACCCAGCTAAACAACAATGACAAATGTAACAAAAAATAGCCGGGTGTTGTAGTGGGCACCTATGGTCCCAGCTACTTGGGAGGCAGAGGCGAGAGAATCATTTAAGCCCAAGAGTTTGAGGTTGCTTTGAGCTGCGACGCCACGGCACTCTACTGAGGGTGACAAAGTGAGACTCTGTCACTACAAAAAAAAAAAAAAAAAAAATGCACCTTTCCTCCCTGACAAAAGCAAAGAATGAGTGTAATTTGAAGAAAGAGTAAGGGTTAGCTTGACGACATGGGATAAGGTTTGGGATGGGAGTCACTCCAGGCAGAGAGTAGCGCTTGTGCAAAGGCACTGTGGTAAGAAGTAGCACAAAAGGGGTGTGATTGTGCAGGAAAACAGAAAAGGAAGGGGGGAATCTGGAGTTTGGCACATCTAGACAGGCAGTCAGATTGGGCAGGGCCAACAATAATTTAAGAGCCTTTTGCTTGGGAAGTAAACAATTTCCCAAACACCCAGCTGCCAAGTGGCTGATCCAAGATTTGAAGCCGCATTTGTTGCCAAAGTCTGAGCTTTTTCTAACATGCTGTCTTGTATTTCTATTAATGTCATTATCTGACTAAGACTGTCATTGTTCTATTTATAAAGCATGTGAGGGCATGTAAGTGCTGATATTAAACTGAAAAGAGGGAAAAAAGGTTTTTGAGGTAACAGTAAGTTACTAAAATTGCCTTTTACTAAAATCAAAAAAAAAAAAAAA